TCACAACGAAAAAATAGAGTCAGTTTAAAAAAAACATACTTTTTCAACATAATATTAATGATATTTGATAATAGTATCAATTTTGGTATACTTATAATAAAGGCTTCGTTCAGAAAGAATTTGGATTCAACCTCTAAGGAGGTTTTGAAAATCTCTTTTAAATATATAAATGATAATTCAATCTAAATTTAAATAATACAAATATTTTGTAATAATATATAATTTAATGAATACAAGGGTTACTATATGATAAGAAAAATGTATTTTGAATGTTTCCAATAAGTATTATTTGAAGGTTAAGTTGTAAGAGTGTTTTAATTATAAAAAGACGATCAATATCTTAGTGTAAGTGAACACTTATATACGCTAATATTTGCGTAAATCGCATCTCAATGGAGTCTCAACAACTAGCATTTACCATATCTGCCCTGATTCTGTAAAAATTCACATCCGAATTCGAATTCACTCATGTGTCCGATTCACTTCAAACAGCGGCATCAGCTCAATCTTGAATTGGTAATAACGTTTCGTGGCATAAGTAAAATGAGTCTCGAAATGACATAGGAATAGAATATCTGAGATACGTATAATCAATCACAATATTCAATTTAGTTTTGTATACTAAAAATGGCGTGGATTCAGTGGACACACGAGTGAATTCGAATTCGTGTTCGGAATCTTATAGAATCGGTCTGCTGAAGTCCATTATTATTAGAACAATATCTTCTTTACAAATCAACTAGTAGCAAGAACTGTGTTATAAAAGGTTGTAGCTGAAGCGCTATTGACTTTCCATAATTACGCTGACATTAGCAGAATCTCCATACCGCAAAGGGCTCGAAACGAAATAACTTTTCAAAAACAAACTCGATAAAACCGTTTCAAAATAGATTTAATGAGTAGTGCGCGTGAATACATTAAATAAGTACTAACAAAAAAAATCACAAACATACATACCCGTCGCAGGACACCGTGGATCAGAAACAAAGCTATAGTATACGTTATCAGCACCTTTTATACCCGTCATTTTATCATACCCCATTGTTGAGAGCGATCAATATATTTATCTGGTCACATTCACCGAACAAACAGTAGGTACCATCACCGATTTTATGCCAAATAGTTCGATTACTATTTATATAATAAAAAAATAACTGTCAAGAACGAGTCGGATTAGCGCACAGCACTAACAATTTTATTAGAAGTAGTCGATTAAAATATCAACACTTTCTCCTAAGTATAATAAATACTTTTTGAGAATTGCATCAAAATTAATTCAGCCAAACGCGAGTTAATTATTTAGAAGTTATCTCTGTATCAAATATAACAGGGAGAAAAAAAGTAGCCCTTGCTTAGTTTCTTATCGGCTCTTCTCTGTACAAATTCTCTCGATTGAATAAATTACATATATTGTTTTTTTTTTAATTTTATAAAGCATACGAACCAATTAATTGATCCATATTATTAATGCTAATATTATAAATACGAAAGTAAATCTGTCCGTGTATGTTACGTTTTCTCGCCCAAAATATTAAACCAATTTATATATATAAATAAAGTGGACCTTGGAAAAGAATATAGTATAGTTTTTACGTGAAAAAATAGGCTTAATGGCGGCAAGTTATTACATAATTCATCAACGACCGTCTTGTATTTAACGTTTCTTTACGGATGTTCTATAAGATATACGTAAAAAGGCAGTATTAGACAAAAAATGCATTTGCAACTTAATTAACATAGGTTAACTATGGGCGAACACATCAATATTTACGAATATACTTAACTTTTAAACACAGTCGAAATAAATTCCAATTTATGTATGTACGTACGTCATACATCCTTCACTAATTATTTTTATCTACTTAAGTGCAGTCAGATATTAATAGATAGATACCTATCGCCCACTTGCACAAATGATCTCTAAGGTTAAATGGGGACTATTATCTGTATTTTATTCTATTCTTTTAATTCTTGTGTAAATGTTTTAAAATTAATCATTTTTTATTATTTACATATTTAATCAATGTTTTTAGTTGTTTTTGTTTGCTGAATTATTAAAGTTAAACGAAATTGACAAAATGTCGAATTGATACAAACAATGCTATTTCGAAAAGAAAAACAAACCAAAATGTTTGATAAAATATAAAAATTAAAAAAAGCAATTAATTTTAAAAGAATATAAACAGATTAATAAGAAATATCGATAAACTGTAGGTTATTATAGCTACGACTGCGGCTACGTCCATGAGTTAGGCGGTCGCGCCCCAGGTCCATAAATGACACAATCTTTTTTCGAAGCTGGCAATAAAAAAAATTTGGAATAAAATTTCAAATCTATCGAATTTCTTCATTAGATTCACTCATTTAGATAATAATAAAACAAATGAAAATCACATATTTTCTTAATTTGAATTCGGAGTTATCTCTTTAAAACTGGAAGCCTACTCTAATTCACCGAAAAACGAAATTTCGTTCGAAACTTCGGACGTTTCCTACCACAATTACATTCGTTCCGAATATTCAACGAACGAAAATGTTTGACATATTTATTTTCTAAACCTACTCTATTTCACGAAATGACAAAACGAACATTTGACTTTGACATCTAATTGTTCGGAATTCTTAGCTCAAATTGACGAAGTAAAAAATGTTACCTTTTCATTTTCGTTAGCAATTTTTTATTTTCGAAATGGGGTCTATATTACTATTAATCGAGTCAGCTCTCAGTAAAGAACGATTAGACCGTAGAAGAAATCGGCAGCGGCTTCGAAATAGCCTTAATATAAGAAATATTCTCGATACTGAGTTTGTAAGTATTTACAGACTCAGTTGTGAATTATTTCAAGAACTATGCCAAGAGATTATACCTTTACTGCGTTCACAGGCAAGATCTCATGCCATCGAGTCCACAATTAAACTTGGAAGATATTTTATCGTAGTTCTTGTTAAAAAAAATTGCATGCCTACCATTACGCATTTCATATTTTTATGATTCTTACAGCGTTGAATTTTTATGCCCGAGGTAGTTACCAAGGATTCATATATCAAAACATGGATGGGCCTATGGCCCAACAAACAGTTTCACGGTGTTAGGAGGTTAGGACTGTCCTCAATTCACCAGATAGGTATTATAAGAAAATATATTATTGCCTCAAAACCAAAATGAAAGGAATCTTATTAAGAGACAGTGAGTACCTAATAGTTTATTGTTTATTTTGGCTTTATGTATGAAGTGTGAATAATTACCTATAGAATTATGTCATTAATATTACAGATTTTACGAGGCATATAGGCTATGCCATTATACCTGAAAAATATGACTGATAAAAAGTCAATTTATTACTAAAAACCTTTTTTTGTGCCGAAAAACTAAATGTTACTTTCATACTTACTTATAAAGTTTTTTACTGAATTGTCAAGATAAATTTCGTAACTCACAATAATTAAATAAAATATTAGTAAACACTGAACAGTTTGGTGAAAACTTGTAAAACTTTTGGCGGGATGAGAATCGTTTGTATTATACGGATATTTAAGATTGCCATACGTTAATTATAGCCATCGTATAAATGAAAGGTTGTTTTTAAATATGTCGGTTAATACTGTGGATAAAAGAGTTCTTTATAGTGTCTTGATAAGTTGTAACGAAAAATAAAATTCATTAATATACTAAGTTTTTCATTATATTATTATAATATTTTATGTTTAAACAATGTTTAGCCACTAAAATTTTATTTAAAAGAAATATATGTATTGTTTAATATTATATATTTCAAGTTACGGTAAAAACCGGAATTTGACATTATAAGAAATCCAATAACGCCATTCACTCCAATCGATCACGAAAATTGTCTTTGGAAACGAACATTCGTTGGTGTATACGAAAATGATAAAGAGTAGCGTTCCATGCGAATTTCGTTTTAATTTCGTTCGTAAACGAAATTTCGTTTTCGAGAAAGCGAGTAGGCCTCCTGAAACTTTTTAATGACGCCGAAGCGCGCTTAATACAAATGGTATATCCAGAAACATTTTTTTGTTACAAGTTTATGCATATTATATGCGAAAAGACTTTCCCCACCTTAATAATTATCAATAATGCAGTGGCGGACTACGGAAGGGGCGGGGCCCGCCCCGGGCCTCAAAAATGACTGTAGTTTCCGCCAAAACCATAATAATATAAAGTTAATATATTTGTCCCTACACATTTTTATTAGGGGGTGTAAACGCAATATCAAATTCTAATATAAACTTCACCTCCCTATTTCACCCCCTTTGTGGTTGAATTTCTATAAATACATTTTTAAAACTTACTTACATCATGAAATGAACCCCTGTACTGAATTTCAAGTTTTACAGAAGTTTCGGCTGTGTTTTGATATATAATTCAGCCAGGTTTACCTTTTATATATACATAGATATAATGCCTGGCATATAAGTAGAATTAAAATGGCGACAATATGCTACTGCATGTAGCATATTTTAGGGTCTTAATCGAGGTGCGGGGGTGTGCGCAGTGCGTAACCATAGCAACGCGGAAACCAGTAAACCTTCTCTGTTTTTCAGAAAATTGTATTCCCTTTTCTATTTTTGAAACATCTTCAAAAAACTAATTTATCGATAATTTATAATGCAACGGTGGTAGGTAGTAGGTTGCTTCTGTTGCACAGATATGTTTTTTACAATATTACAAAGATGATTCCAAAATTTCGTTCGAAGACAAACAGAATAGGCCCTCTATATGAAAAACACGTACCGTGCGTTATACTCCTGATCGGAAGCTAAGTTTAATACCTATTAGTACTCGTAATATTAATAATTGAATTCTTTAAAGTTTTATACTATTACATTATAAAGCAATGGCCTTTACTAGTCGAACAACGGTTCGCACAATCGTGGAGCACGGCTATTATGTGATTTAATTTGATGAGATATACCTACGAAGGGACAAGCAAGCATTGTTTAACCGATGAGTTGGATAAACACCAGTAAAAATAACATACCTCAGATTGCAATGTAGCCTCCAACTCTTCATTGAGCTTTTTCAGCGCAGCAATCTGAAAAAACAAGTATTTTTAATAGAAATCGAAGAGAGGTTGCGCTTGTACAGTGATATTAATATACTAGGTATAGATTTTAAATTTACGTTAAAATTGCAATTTTAGTATTAGTCGAAATTCATATTATAGAGAAATTAAGCGAACCTACTCTACTATCTTCTAGGAGTAAGTTTTACTCCCGTACAACCTCGTACTAGGTTTACCTTTGTTAATTCTTTGTTTAAAATATGAATTTTGACTAATGATAAATGCAGTCTCAGCGTAAATTTATTCCAATGCTAAACCTTTTTAATTAATAACACTGGTAGAGAGTAAGCTACTTTCAGGAAGGACATTTATCAAAAGGGTGAGTAGAAATTTAGTATTTCATAATCATGTTAAGTAAGGTGCATGATAAAGCAAAAGATTTTATTAGTTATAATAATTGTTTTTTATAAAAATGAAACTGTCTTTCATCGTTTATTTGTCTTATCTTTATTCAAACGCATGACAGGAAAAACGTCACTGGCCATCGAAACTTATAAACACGCGCAAACGCATTTGCGATTCGAATACATTTCACTCTGACCTATTGGCTGCGCGCATTCAAAACGATTCCAAATTTAAATTTCAAAACGCCGAGCTCCGATTGGTGGGTGCCACTGTGGCCGGTGACAAGACGTTTTTCACTAGTAACAATTTATTAAATACATTTTTTTTGGATTATGGCGTAACATTACGGTAAATATATTATTTTCAAGATTTATTTAATAAATATAGCTATTTTAAACGTTTCAATTTTAATTTAAACGTTCTAATCTTCTAAATTAAATAATTTAATAGCTTTCTGCCAGCAGCTTTTTGCGGTCCTGGATTATTTAAAACCTTCCTCTTGACTCACTCTGTATATTGACGGAAACTGCATTTATATCCGTCGTGTAATTTAAAGATCTCAGTGTACATACAGTGCGAGTTTGCTTTATACTATGTATAGATTATTACAATTTTGATACTCATATACCTATAGGTAAATGAAATCTTTAAATAAAAAATAGACCGAGCATCCACAACTTTCTCTACAACGTTATCTCATATTACTAGACTTACTGGTAAAAGCATTTGGCACTATTAAAATATACATACATTTCTTGGTAATCTATTGATTAGTCCTGTGGACAGATATAAGACCTACAATAGTTTTGGATAATCGGAAATTTCTCTTGATAATATTGGTCGAACCAAGTATAAAACATGACAAAAAAGGCAACCTGGAAAGCTCAGTCAAGAACATTGTCGAACATTCGACACCGTTCATCATGTTCCTAGGTTCTTTATATTTTATTCTTTTTTTATACATCTGATCTCGAATGTTACTTTGATTATTTTTTTCGTAATTTTAAATTATTGGCATCTATCTCAAAAATTTATTTTGAATGTCACTTTGTGATATTTTATTGTGAACAGTATTAACTTGGTATTAACAGCAGAAAGAACGACAACAGTTTAAGTGGGTGATAGACGTGCGAGTAAGTACGCGAACTTGTGGCTGGACGACCTTTTTCGCTTGTGTGTCACCTTAAGTACGCGTACTTTCCGTACGTAAAAAGGTTGTCGAGCCACAAGTCCGCGTACTTACTCGCATGTTTATCACCCACTTTAGAAATATCTTAGATCTTTAATCAAAGCCTTAGATATAATGTCCAGATAAAGGAGATTCCGCGGAAACCGAACTTCCGGTTTGATACATTCATTAGCGTTCTTCGAAAATGGTGATTCTCGACTGACATTATTTTCCGTTTCTTATCTATGATAGCTTCTTAATATGATTATAATTTCCCAAATATTTCAATTTTTTTCGGTAATAAAAATGATAAACGTAAAGTCTCATTGTAACTTGCGGCTTTTTATACTTATTTTTAAATAAGTATATTATAAGTAGTTCACCCTTTTTGTATGATAAGTAGTACATATTTTACAATAACATATATCCACGAGGAATAACTTTGGTGAATTCCTCCAACAATGCAGACGTGTAAAGTAAGGTAAGTTCATTTCACTCCATAAGCTAAAAGATCTGAACGAGTGGCAGGTATAAATTTGGACGATTCAAACGTGATTTTATTAAGCTTACTAAAATAAAGTAATTTTAGTTTCAAAAGATAACTCAGTAGCGCATCTTCTGCCGTTAACCGAGCTACGTTGGAAGTTGTTGGAAGGTTGCATTGCACGTCCTTGTCCGTCTGAGAGAGTAAGAATAAAACTCCTCTTAGACGTTCCTGACTTTTTCCCCTAATCCGCTAAGGGAGTCCATAAGGGAGTTCATACCATAACCTCACGAGAAGCTAGATTTTTTTTATCGATGGTGTAAGACAATTTTTAAATTATATAGACTCTAGTAGTACTCTAGTAGTAGCAGGATATTGTTGACATCTTACTGATACTGCCGTTGGTTACTTTCATTTAAATGTATTAAATTTAAATGTATTTTCTGTGATTAAAAATAATCAAGCGAGCGTGTCTCTACTCTTGATGCGTATTTGTTTTTGTATTTTTATGGGAAATTTTTATATACCAACTGCACTATCGAGCTCCATACCTATTATTTATTTCGGCTTATAACCATAATGCACAAAAATGGAAACTGAATAGGTAAACATATTTTCTTTTCGATAATTGCATCTAAATTGAAACATAGGATTAGAGTTACGTTCGAAAATATTTGGACGATAGAAATTATTATAGTTCTGTACAAAACAAATCGATAGACCAACCATGAAGGATTGATTTCGTAACATCAATTCAATACTCATATATTACACCATTCATGGGCTGAAATTTCGTAACTCCTAATTCAATGTTTTGACTGAAATCTGTAGAACATGATGTATATATTGAGCATACCATAAATAAATTGGTATAATTTTATTGTGTTAAAAGCGTTTTCGTCATAACAGATGGCTTTAGCAATTTAGAAATGTCATGAATATAAGATGACGCCCGATCGGAAGGAGCTCGATGGACCAATGGTTAATGGGTTGGTTCTTTTATTGTGTACCTAATTTAAGCAACTTTACGGCAACATTTACTACCTACTAAGTCTAAAGTTCTATACCCTTGGCAAACAATATGACGCCTAATATTATTCAGGTATTTAGTGGCGGACTAACCCCATCAAGGGCCTGAGGCGGCATCAGGCCCGAAGAAACTTGGTAATGCGTTTACAACACACTCGGTAGACAAATAACTACGCTACAGCCTGGGGTAGGAGGCCCTAGACAACTACGGGTCCTGCAACCTTAATTTATGATTTGACCAAGGGAACTCGCAACCATTTAGAGGCCCCCAGGAGCAGTGGCCCGGGGCGTACCAAAAATTTCCCGATTTTGAGTAATCATCTCTACCATAACCAGTATTCCATTTCACCTGACAGAAAAATAAAAGTCAGAGTACGAGTACAATATCGATCTGTTTTAGTCAATTAAAAGTTGACGTCGGATATTTTCCACGGAGTTTAATTATAATTGTTGCAGGGATATTATAAAAGCCGTAATTTTATAATTTCACTAGTGACAGTATAATTACACTGATTGTTGACGAATTGTATTAAAACCATATCTTCACCAGTTCTTATTTATTTATTTTTAATAGTATCATTTCATCAAAGTAGATTTTTTTATCGTTAGCTAAAAAAAGGTGGACAATATTGAAATGTCAGTTTTTTTACATATTTCAAAAAAAGTTAACGGAAACAATAGTATACCTGTGATAGAATGATTGACAAAAAAAAAATTTACAATTTACAATTCCCGGTCCGAAACAATCGATGGGTATTAATCTTTGACCTGGTTTCCGTATAAAAGAAACTTTTTTTGGAAGTGAAACGTCTTTTTTGCATATTTTTCGAATATAAGCATTTGTAAATGAATTCTGGAAGTCTATTATGGATTGCTTTTTTAAATTTGACATCAGTTAATAGATTTATCACCAGCATGAAAGGAGGTACATATTCCATTTGAGATTTATTGTCAGTTGCAAACGTTCAAATTTAGAACATTAATTAGACTCTAATTAATGTTTTTAATTTAAAAATAAAAATCGAATTGTATTAGAGCTTAAAGTCGTCATGAAACCTTAATGACGTTTATGCAACTGACCGTTAAACTCTCGTCAATTGCATAAACGACCAAATAATAAAATAATATTTTTTCTATTAGTGTGTGGTTCTCACATTTTGCCAAGGATCTGCACTATTCCAAATAGAATCGATCCATCGCGCTATTCTCATTTCAGAGTTCAGCCTTTGAATGCAATAGCTGCTACAACTCTTATATTAAGATATTCATAAGATTTTATTGAATAAGGTCGACTATCGCATAGGACTTCATTGGCATGTAAATAAGGTTTTTATGACGTTTCTCATATTTCTAGGTTTTATTTGTATGCTACTTTTTACTCAGTATAGATAAAACAAGAGCAAACCAAGACGAAGAAATTTTTTAAATCTTCAGTGGCGTAGAACGAATACGTTAAACACTGTCAACGAAATGCTAAGACTCTATTATTTCCTTGACGTTGGAAAAAAAGATAAGCAACCTTTAATCTTGGCGAAAGAGTGCAAAATCAAATACTAACCGTTAGAGTTATATGTATAAAGAAACTCATCAATTTTTCAATCATAACGTATACTATTAAAACCAAGCCATCGTACCCAAGCAAAAGCTGTATTTTATCACAAGAATATCACTGTTCAAACAGATACACTTTATCTACCCCACAAATGTTTAAGCATTATATAATTAACAATTTTGAACTCTATGCATAGACATTTAAGTGTTAAATAGGTGTAAAGAGTAACGGTCATTGGATCGCTGTATTTGGAGTATGTTGAATTAAGCCCGTGACAAAGGGAAAAGGTTGTACGTGTCGTTAACAATTTATAATACATAGCAGATGACAACAAATGCCAATCCACGCAATAAACATTTTATTTCTTTACTATAACAATACGGTACACTGCGCTCGGAGAGTTGGAGACCAATATTATGGCCCAAACTCAATAGATTCTGCGGGGCAGAGGCAAAAAAACTTGCGTTTGCGCTTAGTGACCTATGGAGCAATTAGATTAGTCACTATGCTGGAATGTAATACAGTTCTAGCAACACCAGTCTGGAGTCTGAATAACGTGAACCGTTAACCGTGGGTATAGAACGCTCAGCTACCGACTACTGCAGGTCTTTTCGAAGTATGGATGCTTTGCCAAGTATTTGCAACGGATTGGTCGAGAGGAGGTGCCGCTGATCCAGGAGTGCCACAAGGCTGAGGACATGGCTTCCCATAACCGTTAGATGTGAGCCTTCTTCTGGGATCGCCATACTCTGGTATCAGTCATAGAAAGAGATCTGTCACTACTCTGCATAGTAAAATCTATGCTGGAGTGGGAGAGATTCTGAACAACTATTGCATCTTTCTGTGAAGAAGTCATATTGCAGAAAGAGTGTGCTCAAGAAGTGCTTTCATGGGTGTGGACTGCAGCAGAACAGCAGGGTCCAAAATCCTCATTCAAGTTGTGGCACCTCTTAAATTACAAACTTTGCACAGAACGGTTCCCCGACAATGAAAATTTTGATTAGCCAAGCCATATCATAACTTGTTCTTTTATTTTTAGTTACATTTGGGCAGATGTGTTTTTAAATTTTTTAATTATTATTTATTCCTTTAAGTGACTAAATTTATATAAACTATATATTTTTTTATGTCTGCAACAAGACCTTTGATTGTGCACACAAATTGTTAAAATTGAAGAAATCATATTTTTTAAATTGAATCATATATCAACTATATTGAATATTTAATTTTAAAACATAACATAAGTTATAACTCAGGATTATGTAATGTATCTAATGATACCCTATACATTTATATCCATTACACTGGTTGCTGCAATACAAGACTAACTTAGCAGAGGGTCGTTAGAAATAAGTGTCATATTGTTATTTTCATGGTAATAAAGAATATTATTATTATCATTAAGATTTTTAAAGGTTTTGGTGGAATAAAGTAACATAGGTCCAAGGGTCCAAAATCCTCATTCAAGTTGTGGCACCTCTTAAATTACAAACTTTGCACAGAACGGTTCCCCGACAATGAAAATTTTGATTAGCCAAGCCATATCATAACTTGTTCTTTTATTTTTAGTTACATTTGGGCAGATGTGTTTTTAAATTTTTTAATTATTATTTATTCCTTTAAGTGACTAAATTTATATAAACTATATATTTTTTTATGTCTGCAACAAGACCTTTGATTGTGCACACAAATTGTTAAAATTGAAGAAATCATATTTTTTAAATTGAATCATATATCAACTATATTGAATATTTAATTTTAAAACATAACATAAGTTATAACTCAGGATTATGTAATGTATCTAATGATACCCTATACATTTATATCCATTACACTGGTTGCTGCAATACAAGACTAACTTAGCAGAGGGTCGTTAGAAATAAGTGTCATATTGTTATTTTCATGGTAATAAAGAATATTATTATTATCATTAAGATTTTTAAAGGTTTTGGTGGAATAAAGTAACATAAATACATACATTAACCCTAAAAAGAAAACATAACTTTTTTGAGCAGTCAGGTAACAATGTTTATAGTATTTTAACCATTGTCATTTGCTCAAAATAAATAGATAACAGGTATTTGAAATAAATTGTAAGCGATTGCAAAACATGAATTTTAATGAAATTACAGTACTCCGAGACCTTGAAAATGAACATAGCATTCAGCTGTTTAATCATCACTAATTGGAAATTTCACAACCTCACTTTGGCTTAGACTGTTTTTGATAGTAAATATATACTCAGGTTAATTAGTATTACTTATACAAAAATTTTAAGAATAGTACTAGTCTATTTTAACTAATAAAAAATGCAGAATCCAGTAAAACAATAAATATATTTTTACTTATGTTGATATAGAAAAGTAACGTTAACATCGAAAAGTATGTTTAGTTCAAAACAAAGACTTCTTATAAATATACCCCATTAACAGAGCAGCAAAATAATTTAATTTTGGAATGAAAATGTTTCCTAAACTATATTTATTTTATCATACAATTTGGTATGGTTATAGATACTGTCTAGTTACAAAACTGTATACCAAAAACAAACATTTTTCTGGCTCATTTGATTAGCGAAATGATTTTAGATTTGACAGGATAATCAATATATTCTTTGTATAAATTGGAACACACCACAAATAACTGACCATGAAGGTTTATAACTGTATAATTGAAGGAGAATAAAGTAACAATGTTTATTTACTGTGTGGGAGTACTTTATCAGTTCACACAGTGACCAGTGATGAGTGTTATGTATAAAAACATAACCTTCTTGAACAGCTGTCATCTAATTACAAAATCATGTTCTGTACAGACAAAACTCACCTCGAGCTCCTGATTGCGGCATTTTACTTCAAGCTCTTTCACTTTAGAATCAGTATTAACATTAATTGCGCCGGTATCTTCAGTGGGAGCTTCAGATAATACTTCCGAAGCAAAATTGGTGATTTGCCCCTTTAAACTGTTCAAACTTTGATTCAGGTTGAGCCACGACATTTTGATGACGAATTAATAAAGTCACATATCACAATTAAGGAATTGCAGTTAAAATTTGTAAATAAATCACAACAAAACGATACAAAAACAGCATTATTTTCACAGCTGACAGGAATCGTCCAGTTGGCAAAACAATAGCCTAATTTTCTGACACTTGACAGTTCCGTTTGACATTGACAATTTTATTTTTATAGCTTAATACTCAAATTATAAGGCCAAAATAATCGAGCATTTAAACATGTATGCTGTTTATTTTTAAAGATCACATAAGTGTACCTACATCATACAGGATTGACATAGGCTCTCTTCTTCTACTTCAATGAGGAAGTATTTAAAAAAAAAGAAAGCACTAAAACAGCATCTCCACTAGATGGCGACTTTAGCAAAAGTTGATAAAACTGAAATTAGATAAAATGGAAACTTAGATATCAATACAAATACGAAAAAGTACAAATAGAATATGAGTTGTTTATTACGTTTTGAAAACTTATTTACTTCTAAACTCGAAAGAAAACCGGAAAGTTTGTTATGGAGAAATCAAGAACGTACCGTAGCGATATCTAGTTTGATTTCGGGAACTAATTTTTTTTTTAAATACTTCCTCATAAATCGCCATCTTTCATTCATTTAATTTCATATATAAAAATTAATTTATTTACTTGACATTGGCTGAATTGTGCGAAATGTGCAGATAAGCCATTAATGAGGAAGTATTAAAAATAATTTAATAATTTAATAATAAGTTTCGAACTTTTCAAAATTCAGTTTTTTAATATGTTAATTAAAAGAAATGGAAATGACTGTCTTTGGTCCATTCGTTTCCTGCAAAAATTTACTTTTGCTACAGCCGCCATCTAGTGGAAGTGCTTTTTCAGTGCTTTCGTTTTTTTTTAAATACTTCCTCATTGTCGATATGTTGTTTTTCAATATCGAGATCACTGTTCTTCGATATCGATATTTCGATTTTTTTAGGTGTCGACCAATATCGGTTTTCCGATATGTCATCATCCCTAGAAGTATAAGTAGTCTGCAAAGAGTAGTATTAAGTTTATAATCCCAAGATTTGGCTGTATGGCTTAGTTCCTTCGCCTGTCCCATGGACGAATTATAATACTACTACTATTAAGTTTATAATCTGTATTATTATGTCAGTTCGGTTTGGTTGATTTGTGTTTTTATTTGTCGTTATTAAAATGAAATAATTTATACCTAAACAAATATTAATTCAAGCCTTATAGAAATAAATTATTCATTATTAAAATTTTTCCTAAAATCAAGCGAAAGACAATAAATACTTTATAACCTTAAACGAAATGAAGTGATTTTTATAAAGAATACAAATTCTTTATTCCCCATGAAATGTCCTCGTCTTCTAGTCTATCATTGCTACTTCATTCTCGTGGAAAAACTGATGTTTCCGACGATATGGAAGTGCTAGATTCAGAATATTTGTCTTCCAAAAATGCTGTGAACTTCCTCATAAATGGAACCTTAAAAAAGAAGGTTTGCAGGTATTGTTTAAATGTATCGTCTTCACTCTCTGAATTGGATATGATACAACAAGTGGCTGGTCAAGGAACAATTTACAAAGTGACTATCAGGGAAATGATAGCCAGCTTCCATCCTGTTAAGGTATATTTTACAGTAATATTTATTTAATTTGGTTTTTACACAAGTTGTTCACAATGATAAGATATAGGAGACAACCATTTGCTGAGCATAGAGTCAGTGTGACCATTTGTGGCAGATTTTACACCTATATTTTAACTCTCGGTATATAATGCTGACAATTTGAAAAAGTGGCAGTATTTGGCAGATTTCCAATTTAAACTGTCGTAACTTTCACTGTTCATGAGATACAGCCTGGTGATGGACAGACAGACATGCAAGTTTTAGTAATATGGTTCCCGTTTTATCCTTTGGTCCAAATGTTTATGTTTTTTGTTCATTAAGCACAGAAAGTTCTTCAAACCATATCAATTATTTTTACATTGTCTTGTCTGGAAAAAGGAACGTACCTATTTAGTTATCTATGTTCATGCAATAAAAATGAAATTTTTGCATATTTTTAACATTTCAGGTAGTTGATGATCAAAATTTTCCTAATAAGATTTGTAATAGATGTTTGGACCGTACTTTGAGTTCATATTTGTTCAGTCAACAGTGTGAACAATCAGAAAGAGCACTACGTAACTGTTTTGAAGACATATATGACAAATTAGAAAAATTAGATCCATTAGAAAAGCAGAAGAAACCAGGGAGACAGAAATTACATCTGAATCATAATATTTTATATGCTGAACATGAGAAAGTTATAGATTATGCTGAACCACTTATTACCATGGTTAATACAGCTACAGAATTCATAGTAAACAATAATGATGCAAAGAATAATGCGAAGTCTAAAATGTCTAATTATATTTGCCCCAAATGTTGCCAAAAGATGCCTAGTCTTGAATCATTGCTGAATCATGAAAAAAGTCATCCGTCTAGTATGTTATATCATTGCCATTTGTGCGGTAAATCTTTCCCAAAACGAAGCTATTTGAGAAGACATATTCCTGGACATACTTTGGGAAAACAGGTTTTGCAAAATACAGACTTCAAATGTCTCGAGTGTAATGTTGTGAGTAAAGATTATCATATACATTTACAACATATAGAGAAACACAGGTTTAAACAAGCCATACAAAATTTGATACTGAGAAAAACGGATAAACTTTGTGCTGTTTGCTTGAATAATGGTACACATTTAATTGAGCTGGAGGATATGATTTGCCTCCATGGAGGTTACCCTGAAATGATGGGTGATCGAACTATGTACCAAATATTGGGATCTACTGTTCCTGAAGTGAGTATCAAAAACATTTTTAAATTAAACACCTTGTATTACTAATCCCTTGAAATATTTCCCCTTCAATAAATATATTTCAACTAGTATATACATGTCATTTTAATAAAATCACAGGGACTGTCAGAACAATATTATGTTATATAAATACTGAAGAATTTACCGAGTGTTTTCCTATTGCAAATACATATTTATATTATGTAAACAGCTTAAATCATCATCTATTATCTTTAAAAGGTCATTGTGATATCAATAAACAAATTTAAATTGTAAAGTCTTGGTTAGGCTTTTGATAAAAAAAATGATCTTTATGAATAGGAACTTTTGGCATATTTTTATCATCAGCATTAATAATATAAATTTATTATTAACCATTATTACCATTAGTTATCATCTATATTTTATACCTGTACTAAAATGAAGGAATTACACATAAAATATATTGAATAGTGTTGCTTAATTTAATGAATGCCTCTGATATAATAAATACAGGTTGTTTTGATATTCCACATCAGTTTTATAACTAATCTTTTCTAGAAGTCATCCTACAAATATCGAGAGTTATTGTTACCTTCTCAAGCCAAGATATTAACCATTAAGAAACTTCAAAAAGTTAAAGCAGATTCAAAACTGAACTTCATCTTATCTCATCCTTATGTTATATCAAAAGACAATATTAGCTTTGACAAATCAGACCAGTTTGTATTTACTTCTCCATATAAAAATCTCAATTTACCTGATGGATTCGATGATTCCTATGCTTATGATGAAGTTAATGAAATAAAAAACACAGATGACAAGTATCTATCTCATGATAAAGAAAGACCAGTTTCAAGTGGTTCTTTCAAAGACATCAACAAATTTTCAAAAACAAATAATTTTGATACAATTAAAAAAACAGAAGATGAACATGTTTTAAGAGACACTTATAAAATAAATAAATCATGTAAGACATGTTGGATATTTAAGAGCTCTTCCTATAAAACTTGTTTGGGACACATAGATGGTGTTGCTGCGGAGAAAAATAATTCTTTACTGAACCAACAAGACATTGAACTTTACAAACAACCGTGTCCATCTTGTTGGTTATTTAAAAATTGCAAAGAATGTGAATATTGTAAGAAACAAAATAATGAAACAACATTCAATACTGACACTATTCCAGAATCCTCTTCACAAATAAATGTTTGTGATATACAAAATAATTTAAATGTTCGGGAAGGTAATAAATTTCTAATAAAATCACGTGATGATAAAACTGATGACGTAGTTTGTCTCAAAAAGAAAAAGAGAATAGAAGACCAATCAGATTGCAGAATACATCAAGATATAGTTAAAACGAGAAAACGAAAAATCACAAATGAAGCTGATGATGCGAAAGCAAAGAAATCTAAATGGGAATGTAAAATTTGTTTGATGATGAACACTAACAGACAATTATGTTTTTGTTGCGATGCGCCAAGAACTTTAAATCAAATTAAATTTAAATTTAATAAAGATTTTTTTAAAGATTTGAATAATAAAAAAAATAATACTGGACATTCGTCAAAAGTCGAACCAGAAACTAATTCAAAAGTCGATGAAGCAATATCAGTTGTCAATGAATTTGAAAATATAGCAATTTCAGGTGCTGTTAAAGGTGACATCGGAGGTATCACAGCGCTTAATCATGGAGTTACTTATGATTCTTGTGATGGTATGAAAGTAGATCCTAATATTAATGTTGATAACATTGATTTCAATTCTATGAATACTCAAACTCAACATGTAGAAGAAATGGAGATAGTTGACGATACACCACAGATCGAACAAAACACGAAAACTCTGAAAGATACCATTCAAGTAAATCCTTCATACAGCGTAATAGAGATATCGCCGTTTCATTTTAACATAGGAATCGGAACAACTACGCCTAAAAGTTCTGAAAGAAAAATAATGAGGTCCCGTAAAAAGAGTTACGCGTATAAAAAAAGTACAATTAACACAATGGGTGAAGAATTTTGAAAATCTTGAAAAATCAAGAGTCAAGTCAAAACGTTATGTCGTGTATGTGCGATTGATTATAAAACCAAATTTATTTAAAGAGTGTTCAAAAATTAATGAGAACCATATAAACAATATGAATTGTAGGTTAGGTAATGTTTCTAAGAATATTATGCGAATATATACTTTGCTATAGTAGTCTTAGACAAAATAAGCAATTGGTTGTGGCATGTTCCATTGAATTGAATGTAGTAGACAAACGAATTACGAAGCTTATATACAACGCAACACATAAGAGAGATTATATTATTGAAAGCTTTTGCATTTACTTAAAATCTAAATAATATCGATACATCAGATTTGTGAAGCAAAATATCAATATCGACTGCAATCGATATATCAGTATTTTAATAAAACTTTCATCCCCTCTACTTACATATGGTATGGTGGTACTCCAATCCCACCATATACACAGCATCTTGTTGCAATTAACCCGGGTTCTGTTAACATAGTCTGTGAAGCCTGACCGACCTTTGGCCACGACCTTTTTCGCACGTTTTGTCGTACGTGATCCACTTTTAATCAGTTATTAGCTTCTTAAAAATGGTTAGGTTTCATTACACAAATGAGTACATGATTCATTATCTTTCAGTGAGCTCGTGAGCTAGCTAAATATCCAGCTTTGAGTACCTAGCTTTTTTCAAATGCGCTAAGTTTGTTTTGCTAACAATCCCCAGTTCTTAGCTACGTCTTAACTGCTGATATGCCGATTTTGCTTCACTTTTCCAAAAATGGCATCCGTTGTATCCGTAAAAGTTGCGTAACAGGGTAACAGGAGTGACGTGCAACTTTGACATTACAATTCCCGGACTGAAAACGCTGAATCCAAATTTGTGCTACTCGCACAGAAACTGCACTAGATCCATAAAGGTCACAAAATTTTTTCGCAGTTTGCGTTGCATTATTACCTTTTTTGTAATAAATTTTTAAAATGTAGCGAATTTCTTTATAAGTTTCTCTTATTTTGAAAGTAAGAAAAACAAATAAACAAACACATTTTCCTAATATTTAATATACTTTTTAATGATACTGAACTAGCCAGACACAAATGATATAGCCAGAAAGATTTTAGTACAAGTCAATGCAAAAATACTTTTTACCCCAACCTAATACAATTCGAAAAGTTCTTCACTTCACAATTTGTTGACATACTTAAGACCCTCAAACACGTTGGTGTGCCTGCTACTTCGGGGTTTACGGCTGTGAAGCATGGAAAGTCGGGTAGAAAATCTGTACTGTGAGTAATAATACTTTCTTAAAATCGACTTCATTATTCAAGAAACTGCTATTAGTATAAAATTAAATAGTTTTATGAGTATATGCGAGTTAGTTTTTTTTTATGGATATTGTTAGTGTCGACTTTTTATTAGAATGATTGCAATATATTAGAATTAGCCATTTTCGTTAGTTTCTGAACACCCGAAGAATGGAAACATGGCAAATCATGGCAAAAAGCATGGCAAAAACCCGAAGAATGGAAGTTTGTCATGCCATGTTTCTAGAATGGAATGCCATTCTCGTAACATGGCAAATAGGCCACACCTCGCGTGATCCAAGGCGCGAATATATTTGCGATTCGGTCCATGATCCAGATGATCAACATCTTTTCGTACTCAAACATCTTGGTTTGCAAATGTCGTTGCAAACAAACCTTTGAAAATACCTACTGTAAAACGAATTTTATCCTAGATTTTTAAATATGGAAACATTGTGAATGCATGATAGTAACATGTTAAAGTATACTTATTAGTATATATGTATTTATATACTGGTAAATTTAGCTAGGAATAGATAAACCTGCTTTTTATTATTTTTTTTTTGTTGCAGATGAATACCCTTCATAATTACCCAGGAACAAAGATATGTGAAAAGTGCCTTAACCACGCTATCATCGCGTACATTTTCATTCAACAAGCGCTTTATGTTCGCAATAGATTGAATAAGTGTATTAGTAAAATGTTAGATAATTTAAATAAAGTAGACAATTCAAAGGGTAATTTGTTTGTTGAAATATCTGAACAACTTATTATGCCTCTTAAAGATGAACATATAGATGAAGATTTACTTGTTGATAACTTAGATGAGATAGATGAATCTAAACTCAAAGTAGATGTATTAGAAGATGAGTTTCGTATAGAATCTGATAGTGAAAAAAGTGATAGCAGTAAAGATGATATTTATTCTAAAGATATAAGATTAGTTAATCATATCAATGATAAATATAGTATTGGTAAAAATATTAATGGAGTGTGTTCTATGAACACTAAAAACAAATCTGTGGATGTTTGTAGTGAATTTCTCACCTTTAAAAAGAAGAAACCTGTTAAAAATTTACCTTTATGTAAATTTACATGTCCAATGTGCGATAAACACTTTATATCAGATTATTTCTTAAGAAGACATATTTTGAAACACGTTCTTAGAAAATCTGAATGCAAAATTTGCGGAATGGTATTTAGCTCAAAGTTTCATCTGTATGAACATAATAGAATTCGTCACATATTGAATAATAGAACTAATCTATATTGCTTAACGTGTGGAAGGACTTTTGTAGAGCAATCCTTACTACTCAAACATGAAAAATGCCATAAAACGAAGTGCTGTCAATTATGTGATAAAGTATTCATATCTCAGAAACACTACAACAGTCATATGCAACGGCATGTTAATCAATTAAAGAATATTAGACGAAAAGTTATTCAGAATTGTAGTTTCTGTGAGAAGGAATGCGCATCTGACAATGATCTTTCTGTTCACGTGAATAAGATTCATTTACAAATAAAACCATACAGTTGTGATATGTGTGACAAACAGTTCTATACTGAGTTTAATATGAGCAATCATAAAAAGGTGCATAGTCTATTTAGTAAAGAGATGTGTGAATTTTGCAATAAAATGCTAAAAAGTAGAGCTGCTTTAGTAGTACATGTAAGAAAGCATATAGGAATAAGACCTCACAAATGTCAAATATGCAATCAAGATTTCTATTCACTGGGGAAATTAAAAACACACATGGAAATCTACCATGGAGGTAAATATCATTGTAAACTTTGTAAGAAAGTATTTTCAATGAAAAAGGGCCTCAAAAACCATGTGAATAGAGATCATAATAGTACTTAATTATTAAAAAAATATCTTCACTCAAGTTGCTGTGGTTAAAGTACTTTTCTCTACTCTAAGAACTTTCTACCAATTTTTTTTTTATATGCAATGACAAGATTTTCTTTTTACGATTATTTTTCTGTAGAAAATTATTATTTTAAATATATTTATGAAATATGTGATTAATATTTATATAAAATGTATGTTTAGTCTTAAGATTAAGGAGATGTTTCGAACTGGGCAGAGTCCATGTACACCTCAAAAATTTAATCAACGAATTTACTGATTTTGAAATGAAACTAATGCTTTATGTTTTCGTTATTCAGTAAATCAAGTATATACTTTTAATAATTTGCAAAAGATGGCGTTTTAATATATAAACAATAAATTATTATTACCATTATCACCATTGGTTTACTATTTATATTATTTTCATTATAAGTATTACATCCAATCCTATATGTATCTCGAGTAGTATATATAGTATAGAGTAGTATAATATCTGTTCTTTTATGTCTGTGGCAAGAAGCTTACATTTTAAGCAGATATATTTTTATTATGTTTCTTAATCTATGGTCTAAACTAACTGACAACTCTCATCTTCCGCCATACTATATTTTTCAACAACTGTTTCAATTATAGGCGACTAATAATAATAATAACACTTCAGTCTTTTACAGAAATCCATAAGTTGTTAGTCGTAAGTTAGTAACAGTCACTTTAAGACCTTTTTCATTTCATTTTCATTTTACACATAGAAATTAATGGATGATGGCAGAATTGTGCGAAATACGTCGATAAGCCATTAATAAAAGAAGAAGGAGAATCATATATTGCATAAAGTAGACCTTAAAAAAAAGAAGAAGAATCATAGATTGCCAGTCACAGAATTTTCCGAATTAACATTTCGAATTTCGAACAAATTCCGTAGTAACATTTTTTGATTTGGTGTACATAGCTCTGCTCCATAATAAATACATAGTTATGTTTTGAGATACCTTAATGGTGATGTTGATTCGTAATAATATAAATTAATACGATTGGCTACGAACAATTAATATTCAAACTGAACTCTGTCAATGTTTTATTGTGATTGAATTTCAGAATTATTATGTATTGCAAATATTTAAATGATTTCTTTATTGTTTACCAAAAAATTTACTATGCAGTAAATGAGATATTTTATATTAAGCTAAGATTAATATTAAGAATTATGAAATATATTTTGAATCAAATGTTGTTTATTATTTTAGACCCATAAACAAACACACATCATTACCTACTTGTTGTCCTTTAGTAGAAATAGCGAGAAATATTATTACTTATATCATTTTATCATATAATAATACCAAATGCATATCAAAATGCACGGTTTATTGTTGATTTGACGTGTGCTTAAAGTAATTCTGCTGTTGGTTAGGTAAGCTTATATCTTATGGTGCCAATGAGGGCTAATGTCAGGTTTACACGTGAGTAAGTAGATAAAAGCACAGCCTATCATTGCACGACAATTATGTAAATTACTTATTAGATAAACTTTAATAAATATTGTAGAAAATTATCTAGTGAAATATAGTTAAGATTTACCTAAGAATGGTTCAAAATAATAAAATAAAAGTATAAAAAAGTAGTTAACCAAATGTTAACTTGCAATTACTTATGTGTTTGTTTACACGTACTTCATCACTTAAAATCTACTTACTTATTAAATTCAAAAAATAACAACAGGATTTCAATTTGAATTGAATTTGACTTCTTGTATCCATATTGCACTTTATTTGTTCGAATATAGGTATTATTAATTTTAGAGTATATTCTCGAAATAAACTTATTAAAACGGAATTACATCAGTAGTTTTGTTTTAATATAAAATAAAAAACTGTGAAAACTACATCGCCTAAATTAACATCATGTGGTGGTTGTTACATAGGGACTCTATAAAAAATATTTTCAGACCGAGTTACTTTCGCATTTCTATTATTAGTAAAGATAATTAAAGAAGTAAAGTACCACTTTTCTGGTAAAACAGGTCAAGTTGCAAAAATATCACAACCAGGTAAATCAACCTTATAAACTTGGATTTATTAATGGCATTTATTAATTTTGAAAGGGTGGTATTTCTAGCCAGCATAAGATCATTTTTTTTTACCCTGTACCGTTATTCTTGAACAATTTCTCATTGCATAGCATGTTAAATTTACCTTTTTTAATAACAATACGAAAACTGGAGAGTTAAAGTTTTCTTGAGGAAGATAACTATACAAAACATATATTAATTACCTTATCGATGGAATTACAATATTATGATTTAGCGAAGTTAGAACTCTATTTACTAATACTCCATTGTCGTTCCCTCCGTCTGTTTGTCTGTATGTCATCAGGATGTATCTCATAAACCGGTATAGTTAGACAATTAAAAATTTTACAGAAAAAACAGAATGTAATGATTTTTTTATGGGAATTCTCATACGCCCGTTTCCGGTACTGTACTCTATGCGCAAGTGCGACTTGCACTTAGCAGCTTGCACTTGACAAATAACCTATTCATATAGCTGATGTTTATTTCTATTACATTTTTAAGCGAGAATATACTGCTGTAAGTAATCTCCCGAGTTTCTGAGCTAGTGTTGATTGATATTTTGATGCATTTCTAAGTAATTCTCCATAATATCACAATAACAGTTTTACTAAATTGCTTTCGATTTTATTGATATTGTATTTAATCAAAATGCACTCAACTTTACATTGCATTGGGTTTAGCGCGACATATCGCACATATTCAATCCTTCTAGTGCATGTTGTGTTTACCTGTAAGTGTTATTGTACAATTAGTTATTTAATATAAAATTTATTGTAACTAATGCATGTAATGCCGAACACGGACGTTGGTAAACCTTAAATAAATATGACATTTGTGATCTAACAGTGCATATTGAACATTAAGTGCAATCCAATGTCACCAAATAGAAGCCAATGTTGTTACGCGGTAGCTCTAGTAGCCGTGTCCTTTCGAAGATGATTCCCAGTAATTAGTATTTCTGTCCATATAATCTTTTTTCAACACTAACCTTCTCCAACACTAATAATTTTCTTGGGTATGTAGACTGCCACTCTCACCTTGAATAGGTGTACCTTGTTACTAAACGCACACTTAGCCATCGTTTTCTTCATTATTTTTATTAGAAAAAAAAAAATATATATCAAAAGGCAATAGTACCCAATAATAATATCATTACTACAGTTTTTATAAATATAAAAGTTATCGAATGCATGTAAAAACCTGTTTAATTTTAATAGACATACGTCCATTAAGGTTTAATGACGCCTTTAATCTCTAATGAATGTCAAATATTTAAAAGGAAACACGACTCTGCACTTTCAGGGCATTTAGTTTAGTAGGTATTATCAAGTTTCAGCGGTTTTTTGAATAGTTAAGTAAATTAATGAGCCTTTACGCTCTTGCTATAACTCTAGCTATGGCTATAAAAACGTTTTGCGGATTTTTAATCAGCTATTTTGGTACCTATATGTAGTTTTAATTATAATATGCTCAGAAAAAGTTGAATTTAAACAAACAAAGATTGAAATAAAAAACATTTAAAAATATTTTAACAATAAATAACATGCAACTAATATTATAAAGGCGAAAATTTGTAGGTATGGATGTTTGTATTTTGTTACTACTTGTAAACTACTAAAATAAATAGATGGCGTTTTTATAACATTTGCATTTTACTGTGATAAAAATAACTATTGATAACAAAAATAAGAAGTTTAACAATAACAAATAACTATTTTCTTGAATATTGTATTTTATTCTTCAGAATCTTCCTCTTCGGTCGGTTCTGTAGTGGTCGTAGTCCGTTTTCTTTGCTTTCGCTTCTTGCTATGTCGTTTCTTGCCTTTTTTGCTGTTAGCTGTAAGTCTGAAAATCAGAAGATAATTTACTTAGGTGCTCCTGGAGTTTATATATTTTTGGGGGTTAGCCAGCGCCGGCTCAATTAAACTTGGCGCTCTAAGCAAAATATTAGAACTACGTCAGAAAACAAACAAGATAATAGACTAATCCATAGAATAAAATATACTGTGTAATTTTGTCAATGACAAAAGAAACTTCTTAGGTGCTATTTTTATGGGCATTAAAATAGCACCGAAGAAGTCTCTTTAAGGGTTTACAATAACCCTTAGGCACTGTTAGTATTAGAATATTTTTACTTTTAAATACCGCGGACATATATTCATGTTAAAATAATCAAAAAGTATTTTTTTAAGGTACGGGTACTGCATGGGTTTAGATAATTAGAGCAAAAAAGATTATACATCTACCAAACACGAACGCCGTAGGCAGTTGTCCAGTTTGTGTATATGAACGGGCCGATTCTGTGGATACCTATATTTCCTTAAAATAGGGTACGTTGTAATAAAAAAGTATCAAAATAGAGATAAAATGATGAATCTTTGAGGCTCTTTGGAGTTTAACCACAATTTAAGAATAAACTCTGTTCTAGTGCTATTTTGTGATAAAAAATTGCCTCGAATGTTTTCGTAGCATAGAGATTCAATGAAATAAAATTTCATTTTTCGAAGGGGGAATGCTTGCATTCTCTCACTCGAAGGCTAGTCAATACGCGGCTGACATACCTGCTGAACGCACTCCGTGCACTCTATCTCTTGGGGATATGTCTGGGATCCAGCAGAGCGCATCTATAGAACAAGAAAAAAGGTGCTCCGCTTGTTGTCTTCCGAATTGTACAAATATTATAAAAAGGAAACTCTGGTCGTAACTCTTTAATGTCGCGATGGAGTCTCAATATGTTTTGCCTTTGTATGGTGAAGTTAAGTTGGAGCGAGCTTTTTATTGCAAAAAGTATTATCTTTCTTCAGCTGTGCAAAACCGCAAAGCTTGACGTATATTTTTATCTTCGGAATAACTTCATAATATATTCCGTTTACATTAACATACAACCATTAACATCCTCAAGATATGTTAAGGCAATATCTCGTTTGTGTCGTATCCTATTACTAGAGTTATGGCGAAAGACTAGGCGTTCGCACCCCAAGGTTGAAATACAAAAGGCACGTTACTCTGAATCACACAATTTAGATACTTATTTAAGTATTTGAGTGGTTCTTGATCCTATTTTAATAATTTGGATATTCTGCCTTCGGTTATCTTCGTGCGTCTATTACATTCTTAAATCAAAACGTTAGCTTTATAAAGAACAATTATTATTATTATAAAATTCTTTGTACGAAATACTTGACATTTGAATTAGTTACGAGTATTTAATCGATTATGAGTAGGTCCTTCAAAAGATGTTCTTGGCTCATCTCTACTCATTTGTGAAATCGAGAATATTTCATTAACATCGAAATTAGTCGGTAGAGAATTAAATGGTGTAATGGTTAGTGCGTTTAGTCTACGGAGAAAGCAACTACGAGGGTCAAACTGAAAGTTCTTAGAACTGGCCACTTATAAACAATATAATAAAAAAATAATTCTAAAATTTGAAAATTTAACTCTTTGCCAATATTACTGAGTATATATTTCATTCATTTGTCATTTGTTTTACGATTTGGCGGCAAATTGAAAATTGTCTGTGTCACGTCATCATGAATTTAACACAAGAAAATTTTCGTGCAATGATTTTTTATGACTTTCGATGTCATTTAAGTCAACAAGAAAGTTATGATAGACTACGATTGGCCTTTCACGATGAAGCCCCATCTCGTGCGACTGTTTACAACTGGTTTAATGAGTTTAAACGTGGTCGCACTAATCTCACTGATGATTTACGTGAGGGACGGCCTTCTACGGCGACGACTGAAGATAACATCTGTGTTGTGCGGCGTATGATAGAGACTGACAAAAGAGTGACCTATCAACAGATTCGGACAAGCTTAGGCATCGGTATGAGTCAAGTGCACAAAATCCTCCACGAACATTTAGCGGTCAGGAAGCTTTGCGCCCGGTGGATACCTCATAATTTGACTGAGGCTCAAAAACTCCATCGTGTGGATTGGTGTCGTAAAATGATTGAAAGATTTAACGGAGGTGACTCAAATGCTGTGTTCGACATACTAACAGGTGACGAAAGCTGGATTTACTGTTATGATCCTAAAACCAAAAGACAATCTGCTCAGTGGGTGTTTCCTTTCGAGGAGTTGCCAACTAAAGTGAAAAGAGATCGAAGTGCGGGAAAAAAAATGGTGGCCTCGTTCTTTGGAAGGATAGGTCATTTTGCAACAATTGTGTTAGAGGATCAAAAAACAGTTTCTGCAGAATGGTACACTACCAATTGTTTGCCACTTGTCTTGGAAAAAGTTCGAGAGAAACGACCTCGCAGTAGGATCCTCCTTCACCACGACAACGCCTCGTCGCACACCGCCAAGCGAACGATCGACTATTTGGCGACATCAAACGTTGAATTACTGGGTCACCCGCCGTATAGCCCCGACCTCGCGCCTTGTGATTTTTATTTATTTCCAAAAATTAAAGAAAAACTTAAAGGAAAGCGGTTTATGAATGCTGAAGAAGCGGTGGCTGCGTATCGCGATGCCATTGAAGAGACCCCTAAGGACGAGTGGGCAAAGTGCTTTTCCCAGTGGTTCCATCGCATGCAGCGGTGTATTGACGTGAATGGACAATATTTTGAAAAGATATAATAAAACTAATAACTGGCTAATGTAATCAGTTTTTGATTTTCTAAGAACTTTCAGTTTGACCCTCGTATTAGAAAGGCCCGTAATAGGGTGGGTGACCAGAAATCTACACTAATATTATAAAGCTGAAGAGTTAGTTTGTTTGAACGCGCTCATCTCAGGAACTACTGGTTCAAATTGAAAAATTCTTTTTGCGTTGAATAGACCATTTATCGAGGAAGGCTTTAGGCTATATAACATCACGCTGCAACTATTAGGAGCAAAGAAATAACGGAAAACGCAGACGAAGTCGCTGGCGGCCACTAGTTCATTATAATATTTTGAGCTTATTTGAGCTTCGGAAGACATGTCTAGCTGGCCTGGTGGTCTCGCCAAAGCTTGACGGTCAATAAAGTTAATTTTGTTCTTAACACAGAGACTAGGAACAATTATCTAGAAAAAGCTTACCATTTCATTATCTACTTACTAAAATTCGACATTTGTAGGTGACTACTCCAGTATCATTTAAATAATTATTAAAAATTTTTTTTTTTATATAATATTCTGTTCAAGGTCCGGCCCGTCAATAGAGACAAACTAGGGAACTACCTATGGCGCTCATATTTGGGGGGCGGCATGGCACGGCAAATAGATTATGTTAGCACTAATAGGATAGTTTCGGTGGTGAAAAATAGGTCACGATATTGCACCAAACCTAAAATATACATAGTTATAAACATAGAGATTCTGATTTTGAGTTTTAAAATTGCACGATTATCTTAAAATTAAGTCGTATTTTTTTGTATGTGTGTCACGTGACGTTCTGCCATTGTGTGACGACAACTGTCAGTAGTAGTCCTAAGATACACCTATATATAATAAATATAATTCCTAGATGGCGCTGGTCTTAGCTTATTTATATCTTATTATTCCGTAATCGATCGTTAGATGGCATAGTTCTTATTATTGACATCTTTTAATCTTCTTCTCTGCGCATCTGATTTTTTTACATATCACAGTGATGTCATGAATATGACAGACAGCGTTTTCGCGGGTGTAAAAAAGTTTAAATTTTTATTTAATTTTGAGACAAGAAAACGAATATATTTTTCCGAAATATTTCTGTTATGGCTTTTTAAATTAAAATAAACAGTTACAAGTATTATTTCAAACGGATCAGAATGCCCTATTATTGAACTTTAAAAATACATTACCTAAAAAAATACTTATTCAATGTAGTTGCTCATAAAGCGCTATTTTTTTAATCCATTGTAAACACCGAAAGTGAGTCTTTAAACACGTGTTAAATAAAAATGTACCTACTGAAATCCTTTACTACACACGTGCTTAAAAGTATTTTTTTAATTTTTTTTGGCCGAGCACCAAAGAAATTTAAAAAAACAATTGATGAAAATATGTCAAACTTTAGAGGCAAAAGTATTTCAAGGAGCCTAGAACGAACATATTTCAAATAAAAATGTATGACACGAAAACATGTTCAAATATCACGTTTAATTTTAACAAATAATTTTTACCTTTAATACATACTTAGTTTTATTAACCTATCTATATATTTGTTTTATTTCCTCGCAAAAAGCATTGAAAAATGTTGTAAGAAACTTGAGCGTTAAAGGTTTTTCGAATTCGTTTGTAAAACCTTACTTTCCGCACTCGTATCTTAAGTAACTATTGTTTTTTGAACTCGATTATATGTCCGCGGGTACCCAAGGGGTTTCTTATGTCATTGACTCAATTACACTATTTAATCGGCGTACCTGCATTATTATTTTTTATTGTGATTTTATTTATGCGTGTCGTTCTAACTTTTTGCCTAGAGTGACAAGTTCCAATGCTTTGCCTGAGGCGCCAAGATCCAATATTTTGCCTAGGGCGTCAAGTTCCAGTGTTTTGCCTAGAACGCCAAGTTCCAGTGTTATGCCTAGTGCGCTACGTTTCGTTGAAATGACGTTGTGCCTATCCAACAAGAATCAATTTTGATTTCGAACTGATTTCTATATTAGTAGTCGAAGGAAGGTTTAAAAGTGGGAAAAGATTAAAAAAATTCAAGGAAAATACATAGTAAAAGTGATAATTCTATTTTTCCTAGCAAACTGCCCCCTATTCCATAAAAAAAAACTATGTGTAGCTTCAGACGGCGCGTTCAAAAAGTTTTATTGAACTTTGAAACAAAATTTATGTCTATACTAATATAATCAAAAGGAAAGATTTGCTTGCATGCATTGAATAGGCTATAATTTTTCTAAATGTTTAAAAAATCCGCTTTGTCCCTGGTACTCCGAGATGGGATTTGAACGCATGACCTTTCGCAACCCGGGCGCTTCTCTAACCACTGAGCTACCCAGGAGCTAACAAGACTGACGTTTTCAACATTTGCTACTTTTTCGCTTCTACAGAGCGTATTTTCGTTAATGATTTAGGCAATCCAGCCAAACAGCCGAAAGAAATAATTTTTACAAATATATAAACTTTCGATAAACCGTGTTCTAATTATTATATTTAATCGATTTTTTATATCGATTAACATACAACCGATTAAAAAATATTTTGACATTTTTCATTAAGAATATTTTTCAGAATAGCATTGTAAATGCAAAATTTTTCAAATATAATAACAATAATGTCTTATAAAATGTTAGTAGTAATGAGTGACTCTTTATACAAATATCGAAATATCAATTATGCAATTCAAAAATAAAATGTACATAACATCTTTTTAGAGGTCGTTTCACAAAAATACACAAAGAAAATAAATTATACGTATTAATTACGCAGCTTTTAATGGCGATATATTTTCTATTTATTTTCGTTATGAGACTAGACAAAACAAACATCAATTTAGTATTAATTAACTACAGAAATAAGCGAAAACATTGTTACATAATATGATTAGAGCAACAATTATAATGTTAGAAACAATTAAGCGACATAAATAAATCCGATTCTACTGAGCAAATTTAAAAAAGTATTTACTTTTCAAAATCCGCGCACGGGTTGTTTTCGTAGGCATTAAATTTGACGATACCTCCTTTAATGCCTATCAGAACGTTATCTGCTGAGTCCATAGCGAAAGAATTCACTCCTGTCACATTAAATGAACCTAAATATCTAGCATTTGCGTTGTCAGCGTCTATAATATACAGATTGCTATTTTCATCCATTCCGAACACTTCGTCTGATCTACTAACGAAAACTCCAATCATTTTATCACTTGGTAATCCTTTAATTTTAATAGGCACTGTATTACCACTTTTCAGAATGTAAGAAGTCTTTGTGGCAATAAAGAAAATGTTATTTCTCGGGTCTACAGTCAGTCCATGACCGTTAGGTACTGCAGAATAATATTCCAGCTTCTGTCCGTCATTTGTGATCTTATGTACTCTATTTTGTGGCCACGTAGCTATAAACATAGCAGTACCATCACTTGTGACAGCTATATACATAACATCTTCACCTAAAGCTGTATATAGCTCTAACGAGCCGTCCTCTTTGTATTTATACACGCCATTATCAGTAGCTAAATATATAATATCGTTGAGGTTATCAACACACGTTGATTGTCCCAAACCGGCCACTTTTATTAGCTCACATTCTCCACTGGGATGTAACACTTGGAGACTCATCTTCATTTCGTCGCTTATTAACGTGAAGAATATGTTCCCTGTCTTCCAATGTATGCTCATGTCAGCAGGTATGCCGCTGACGTTTCGCTTTTCGACCATTGAATAAAAGAAATTGTTGAAGTTAAGTAAGCTGGCACAGAATTGCTGTCGGTTTTTCTGTCTCAGTAGACCTTGTCGGGTCATTACTGGTGTTCCTTGTACCAACGTCATTGTCCACATCATGATTAGCAGTATTAAGTTCTTCATCTGCAAATAAAGAATTTTAGTATTTCAGTTCAGTAAGGCGATAGTTGGTGATAAACTTTCAAGTATATGTTTTAAGATAAAAATACTATAAAATATTACATTATGTTGTTGCCATTATAATCAAATGATTTTAACTTAATCTACACAGTATTTTATGCACCAATTAATGAGAACATCATCAGTCCAAAATATATCGAAACCAATTACTGTTTGTATAACTATTAAGTATAATCTTTTAGTATACCGAACAGGAAATTCTTTCAGAGTTTGATCCTATTTATAGCATGTAAGATAGCAGTTTAAAGATATACACAAACTAAATTATGATCTAAAAAAAAAACCGTTTGGCAACAATAGTAATATATAATCCAAAGAACAGCGAAATAACATCACAATATATTTAAGTGGTGTAGGTATTCAATCGGGCTTGGACTTATAAATTGTCTCGATAAAAAAAGTGTCGATGTCTAAAATTTTAAGTTATTCAATAATATTTTCGAATCAAAATATGTGTCACTTTGCATTCGAGAATAATACATTTTAACGTTTCATTATTTTCAACCCAATTGGTCGCATTTCCGATTCTTTTACGTGTTAACTATTTCCCTTTTTTAGATAACTGAGCGACAACTGTATATTGTTTTTTATTGCTAAGTTAACTTCAATCACCTTCTTACCTTTCTTGATGCAATTCGAAAGTTAAAATTAAACTGACACTTCTTAAATTGCAGATGCCTAAGTGACACTTAATTACTTGTTTCTTTCTTCGCCCCGTATGATATACTAAGATTTATCACAACTCAACACATTTATATAAACATAATTATGTTTATTGTTATCGCTTACAATTATGTTTACGTTTATAACTCCGAGAGGAGTAAACAATAATATTGTTAATTATTAACAAAATGGAATTTATAATTACGATGATGCGTTTTAAACATTTCCTTTTATTCAATAGTATAGTTTGAGAAATTATTATGCAATAAGTATGTCTATCGATATATTAAATACTAGATTTCCGCCAGCGGCTTCGTTCGCGTGGTCCTGTGTAACCTTCCTTTTGAAATACTTTGTAAATCGATGAAATATACATTAAAATACGTTGTGTAGGTTAAAAGATTTCAGCGTACAGACGGCGGGAAGCAAATTTGTTTTATACTAACGATCACTATAATTGCTCCGATTCCAAAATGGAGCTAAAGGCCACGTTTTATGGATTATCTGAGACAACGAAGGTACCACAACATCTAGACTCGTGGCAACATAGAAAAGATCGATTATTCCATTGACCCATCCGGGAATCGAACCCAGGACTTCAGAGATGGCGACACCTTGATACCGGCGTGTGAATCACTCGGCTACGAAGGTCTACTCTGTATTGATAGGAGTATTTATATGTAAGTTATGAAAAGAACAAGCTCTTTTTTGATATGATAGTGTTGTATGAAGATTGATCCTTTTGAGTGTTTAATTCTGTGTATTTTTTTTATATTAGAACTACACAATCGCTTGTAATTAGTCTGACTTATTTATATTTACGTATTATATGTTTATATATATATATTTATGTTATGTAATTTGTTTGTTATGTATATTAATTTCCATTTTTTTTAAATATATATATTGTTTAAGTTTTAGACACTACTTTTTTTGTGTAGCACCGCCTTATTCAATTCTCTATGTCTTAACTCTCCGGTTGACTGGTACAGAATGCCTACTGGCATTAAGTCCGCCATTTGTACACTTTATTTGTGCAAAGGAGTTTAAATAAATAAATAATCATATCAAATCAGTTGCCTAATTATATTTTGACCTCAAAATCCACTGCAGTCCTTTCAAAGATATAGATATTCAACAATTGTGATAACGTATTATGGAATTATGTAACTTTTAAAGTCACAAACTTTTAAAGCTTTTGGAATGAATGATGGTTTGAATGAACAGAAACATAAAAAAAATTTTGCTTAATCTATCGAAAGATGACTGTTAGCAATTAGCATTCAACTCATTCGTTTCATATTTACGACTAACGTTGGCCTTATATTAACTACTAGCTTTCGCCAGCGGCTTCGCGCGCGTTGACCCTACGGAAATGTTTAGTGGGATAAAAAGTATCCTACTATCTAAGTCACCTAATACCCTATCTGTATACCAAATTTCATAAAAATCCGTTCAGTAGTTTCGGCGTGATTGACGGACAAACATCCAAACATCTTAACATCCAAACAAAGAAACTTTCACATTTATAATATTATAATAGGATTACATTCAATAACTTTCAGAAAAACGTCGCGACCACAATCGCTATCACATGTTAATATTTGCAGCGTGAAGTTGGCGAAGATCTTTCAAATGTTCAAATCGGCTAGCGAATAATTTTGAAATAAGACAATTAAGCCCAAAGGTCTATTATGCGTCGTCTGCGATCGGCTTCATGAATTTTCTTTTAACTAAAGTATACTTTCATTGGGTAAACGATTAACCTTCAAGATGAAATATGATCGATTGACTGAAACCATTTATCATAAGGACCTCATCTAACGAATTTAAGTTTTCTCCGTTTGAAAAGCGTTTCGACAACGTTAATTTATTTCGAAACTGATTTAACTTTTGCTGACATAATATTCGCAGGTGTTATTTTAATTTTGCCTTAGTAATAATTGAACTAATTATATTAGTTGGCAGTTATATTTAAAAAATATCGCATTGGTTAGCGCAGTCGGTCTGCGACGCGAAAGTGAAGCAACCTTTGTAAGGGCCGGGCATAGGATAGGTGGACAAAAATTTATTATCTCGAGCTCCTCCGTGCAAAGGCACAGTAATGTAGGTATACCGATCAGAGTGTTATTTTGCTGATGATAAAGAAACTCCTTAGGGAATGATGTTCAAAGAACAAAAGTAATTTTTTAAGGTGCTGTCTTGTTAAGGTTCTAATAATTAATACAAATATAATGTTTGCCAAGCTATCATCATCATCACACCTTTTACCGTCCCCACTGCAAGGGCTCAGGCCCAATGCGGATTGGAAGGCAGCCATGCATGCCACGCCGCTCCCCCCATATACGAGCGCTCTAGACAGTTGCCTAGTATGCTTATATCACGGGCCTCCTTTGCTCCCTATTCGACTAAGCACGCTCTGTGGCACAAACCTTACACCCTGTTGCATAAACATTATTAGTAAAAAAAAAATAATTGAGCATTCATATCATTAGACCTTAAAGTTGTAATTAAAACCTCATTTTATTATAATGTTAAAAAAAATTTTAATGTATAAGAACCTTCTTGTATCGCTTTTAGCTATTTTATTAGGAATAACACTTTTTTCTTCGTACAAAAATACTTTTAAAAGAGAAAAATCATCTGTATATATGTAAGTGGGTAATGTAGTAACGTTAAAATCATGACTGCCCCTTTCGTGGCCGTGAATTTTCCTGCTCTTTTATAATTCGAAGGGTTTGAAGGAGACATCATTTTTCACAGCCTTACATTAGACAGGTGAAGAATGAAAGTAGCAAACATTACGTTTGCTGTCGGTGACATTGTGAAATAAACCTAACCTCTATAGTAATAGGCGACTCGAAACGGCTCTTCAATTAAATATTAAACTTTGTCGGACGCAATAACAATTATATACAGACCCGCGAAACTCAAAAATTTCACTCCGAAATCTGTATTACTATTTAGCATCGCGAAGGGGTAGGTAGTTCTACTTAAATTGGCAACTCTAACAAGAAACTGGGTAGGTAACTTTAAAAGCTACTTTGACGAGGCTGTGGGAGTCGGCTACGACTATTACAGATTTAATAATGATCGTACCTTTATGTTAAGATGTAATTTTTTGACTGATCTATTAATTTGAATACCTACCTTTATAATTTAACATTTCCTTGTAATTATGACGCTTACCTATACTAGTATTTTTAGAAGTCAATTCATTCATTACGGTAGTAATTTTGTCTTTGTGAATTTAAAAATTACCAGTTTTTAACACCTACAAGCGGAAACGCACACGGATAGGAATAGAAAAAAATAAATAAAAAATAACAATTAAAAGTACATTACCAATAGAAGCACTAAAATACAGTTTTTTTCTAATATATTCACTCACTAACTGCATCGCACTTAACATATGTAATTGGTTAGGTAACTATATAAGTTTTGTAACCTAAAACATATTTAGGTGTACTATTATTTTTGTTGGAGAACATTTTAACTGGATTTTTTTAAAACGGTAATATTTTTTTTATCATTCATCAAACAGTCAAATATATTTTATGTATAAAACGGTAGTATAAAAGTAAAATAATAAAAAGAAATAACCATATCATGTTGGTTCAAATCATAGGATTTATTTACGACTAGCTGTGCCCGCAACTTCGTCTGCGTGGAAAGTATTTTGGTAGAATTCTTTTATTCCTATGAATGGAGTCGAATCGAATAAGATCAATGAGCCATAACCCACTGTGCTTAATGCAGATCGGTGGGTGTTCACGTTGCTGATGCAGCCAGGACTAACAGCTTAACGTGCATTGTGCCAGTGCCTTGCACAGTGCTCAAGATAATAATGTTTTGGTCACCTGTCCTTACGAATGCAGTTTTTCTATCTTTTTTCTCGTATCTCGCCCTCTGGTTTGTGCCTGTGTCTGAGAATTTTATTCGTACCTTGAAACTGTCCTTCTTTTGTTTTTGATATTTTAAAATTATTATTATTTATCTAGTTGAAAGCACAATCAGCTATTTATTGTTCTATTTTCCATGTAATGCTAGGTCGCCTGGAAGAAATCGCTTGCTAGCGATGAGTTTATCGTTTGTAGTTAGTTATGTAAAATAAGTATTCAAGTATGTCCTTGTTTATTTCACTGCAATTTAAACCGAATGCGCTAACCCACTACGCCATCGGACCTCTTATAGCTAAGATATACTTATATTATAAAGGGGAAAGATTTGGTTGTTTGTTTGTTTGCATCGAATTTGCCCCAAAACTACTGGACCGATAGTTTCAGAGAGATTCTACCTACGGGAATCTACATCACGGATGTCATAGGCTATAATTTTGCGGCAAAGTTGCGGGAAAACAGCTAGTTCATTATACCTTGTGTTGAATTGAAATGAAATGTATTGAAAACTTATCTGCGGTACGCCTGTGGAGTATGAAGGCAACAC